CCTTTGTAACTGTATAATCTACATATATTCATCTGTATGGTACATGAATATTGTGTGTTTGTTAAATAGGATTTTATAATCATATTCCTCTTTTGAGAGGAGAACATCAAACTGAAGAACACTGAATAGTTTTGTAACAATTGGGCATAGTGTAATTTGGCCCAATAAAATTAAGACATTACTCAAATGCCATCAGCCCAGCTGTTGTAACTGCTATCTTGAAGTAAGTACATCTCTTGTTATGTAGGTCACATCATGTGAAGCTAGCAGCTGAGCAGTTGTGGGGAGGATAAGAATAGCAGAACTAAGGTGAAATGATAATGAAAATACTGCATGGGGACAGATTGTATTTTATGAAATATTTTCAGACAACCCAGGAAATTATATGAAAGAAAATGGATTCAGAAAAAAGTTTAAAAATACTTCATTGGTAGTAGTAAGTGTAGGGCTACCCTATCTAGATAGTAACAATCCAGACACACACACTCCATTAAAAGAGCAAAGAAATTGTTGCCATCTAAAGACTATTTGGAGTTTTGTAGTTCAGATCTGGTAGCCCTAATTAAATATGGCTTGATATTTGCAGTCTTGAAACTGCACATATATTTTGGCATTTGCTTAATTAATACATCTTTATATCTGTAATTAAGAATCAATCAAAATGGACAGGTACTGGCACATAAAGGTGAAATATTTCTGGATACTAGGTAGTAAATTGAGCAAACAAGCCTCAAGGTTATATAATAATGACAAATTTATCAGTTTAGTTACAGTGGTCGGAAGTATTATGTGACAAGATCTGTGCATTTAATATGAAACCACACAATAGATTTCTGCTATGCTTTTATGTTTCTAAGTTGACCTTATTTATATACCTTTCTTTTAATGGATTAATGTAATGGGCATTCCATTAAATGTAAACATCTGTTGAATCCAAATAAAATTTTACACTTGTATGTTTAGCAGATGGGATTTAGTACATACACAAAAGCATATAACAATTGGAAGTCTCAAAAATGTATGTTTGTTAAAGTAAGGGTTTATTTTAAAACCCAGTATGAATGTCAGTTTTAGAAGCAACTGGAGAAATGGGGAAATGTTAATTGTCTTGTTGCATACGTCTACATCAGGTCTCTGTTTATCAGTTTTTTTTTCAGTATTGTGGATTTTTTAATGTATATGTTCAGAAGCAGTGGCTTTGATTGAATTGCTATAATTAATACTTTAACAGAGAACTGATTCAAAACTAAATTTGTTTTAAAATTGTATTAATAAATTTTCCTATGTATATTTGGTAAACAATTGGGTGTTAGCAAATACATGCATCATTCTATAGTTCAACTTAGATATCTGAGTGTGGTACTGACTGGATTGATTTTTCAAGTGAATTAGATCTCTGTTCTAACTTGTAAAAAGAGAGAAAGAAATGTATGACACTTACCTTTAAAAAATGGTTCCTGGTAGGTGTATCATTTATGTACTATGTGTGAAATACCAAAAGTGGCATCTGTCTCATTTGCACTACCTACTACGGCTTGATAAAGAATCCAAGCCAAGAAATAAAGATTATGGTACATTTGTGCAAGCAGACCCAAATTAAGATCCAAAGCTGCATAAATTGGTATTGAAGCACATGACCAATATTGCAGCAAAAAATCAGTGTGTTGGGAAAATGGTACATGTTTCATATCCTATCTACAGATGACAGTCTTCAGAAACAGGATAATTTGAAGGATAAGCAGGATGATAGCCAACTATAACTTCTCAGTAGGTGGTACCTGCTAATTTACAGGTATTGAAGAAGTTAAATTGTTATCTTAATATAGAAATATGCTCATCTGTCAAATGTGTCAAATATCAAGTATTCCATGAAGGGGAGTGATCAGGCAATTTTTGCACTGAAAATAGAAGACAAAATCACACTGTTTCCCTTCACGGAGCTGGGGTGGGCATGGCCTGTGCATGATGTATCTGGTCCATGGTCTGCAGTTTGACACCCCTGTTCTAGATGAAGTGTATACTGTGTCTCCCTCTACTTCTCCATCACATTGAGGTTCCAATTGCTTTCAAATAATTGAAGACACATAATGGACATATCCTTCCATTATTCAAAGATGTTTGCAAAGAGAAAGGATTGTTTCAAGTTGATGATCATTTGCAGCAAACCAGAGAAGTTGCCAAAATAACAAGAATCCCCAGAGCAATGAAAAATTTGTTGTCTTATTAACAAACACTGAAATCAACAATCCCATAACAATTGTGGAACCAGTTCAAGAAATCTGAAGATTTCCTACAAATCAAGAGAGCAAATATTATCAATGAGAGGCATTGTGAACATGCTGTACTGTATTTTCTAAGATAAACCTGTAAAATTTGAAAAAAACTCCAGAAGAATATAATTTGTTAAAACCAACAAATATGATTAATTCAAATGTGGTAATCTGGAATTATTGCATGAAGTGCAGTACAACAGACAGCAGGAATTTGTATTACACAATGAGCACCTATTGAACATTGAGCAAAGAGCAATCTATAACTATGGGTGTAACTACTTGCTTTGCAAAGCAAGTAGTTTTCAATAATTTTCAATAATTTTCATTAATGTCTATGGAGATTCTCAGGCATCCAGGTCATGGTTGTCCCAAAGGTGTTTTTTCAAGAGGCAACTGGACTTCATTTTTTTCTTTGAAGTCATTTCGCTTCTCATCTTCAGCTCTGGCTGGATGGTGGAGAACGGAAGGATTTATACTTGCAGTCAGCTTGTCATTTGCATTCTTTTAAAAGAATGGAAGAAGCTAAAGAAGCTTCTTGGGTAAGAGCAAAATGTCTTCAAAGAAAAACCAAAAAGTCCAGTTGCCACTTAAAAAAGCACCTTTGGGACAATTTTCATCGATGCACTGGGGGTAAAAGGAAATATATTTGTCAACAATTTAATCCTTGCTAAAGCTAGGGGAGATGGAGATGTTGCTCTTGCTGTAGCATCATCTGGTATTGCACCAACTTTGATGCCAGGTGGTGAGAAGTTGTATAAAATACTCTTTGTAATTTTTTTTTAAAAAAACCACTACTGCATACAAATTTGCTTCAACATGCTTATTTTCTGGGATGAGAACCCAATGGTTAGGAAGGAAGGTGTTAAAGCTATACTGTTTATGTTATATATAGGAAGAATGAGGCCTTTGGGGGAATTTTAACCATTTGCTGTGGTGATTTCGATCAACTTCTTCTAGTTGTGAAAAGAGAAAATTATGTTAATGTTGATAATTCATGCATCAAAAAAATCATACTTATGAAGAAATTTTTTGAAGTTTCAGTTGAAAAGCAACATGTTGTTGGGTGAAAGAAAAGGAAGATATTTTGAATTCTTATTGAATATTGCAGAAGATGAAATTTGGACAAAATGAAAATGATGAAATAGAAATATAAAATATAATGTGCAAATTTCACCTAACCAACATTCAACAGGCTTTGCAGAACTGTTCTCAAATATCTTAATTCCCCTAAATGAAATGATGAGAAAATAAATTTCATGTGCATTAAATACTTCCCTGGAATGATGAAAAATACTGTTTTTTTCAATGCTGTCAGTGAAAAAATAAACATTCTCCAACAGAATTCCTTGATTCATTTGAACTCTGAATTGTCAGAACATAAACTGGAATTAAAGATAGAATCTTCCAACATTTTAATGAGAAACTTCAATCTTCTAAGACTTTGTAATGGAATGTGGAAGAACTTGGAAGAACCCCCCAAGAATCTCATTGTAGCAGATATAAACATTGGTGTGTTCAAAAATGATATTGTCATTATTCCAAGAATTTCACTTAGTTTATCAATTGAAGATACCCCTTTTCAGTGGATCCAGTTCCCAGTACAGTCATGCTTTGCTTTCACTATACATAAAGCCCAAGGACAATGGAAATGTGCTGATTTATCTGGAGAAACCGGTATTCTAGCCTGGTTAGCCAAAGAAAAAGAAGTGAAAACATTATAGTATACTTGAAGAATGGCAGATCAGCCACAAATGATGTCATCAAAAGCATCCTTTAGAAGCATTTATACTTGCTTGCTATGCATCCTTCCCAAATAAAATGTTTTCTTTAATTTTAAAACCAAAACAGTAGGTGGTCATTCTGATTCTCTGGTTAGGTAGAAAACTATCTCTGAAAGGATGACCCAATAGGTCACAGCTTGTCTAGTAAAAATTGAAATGCTATTTGACGCTAGCAAGAATAATTTCAAATTGCATTGTTATAAAAGTGTTTCCCCGTCCTGCTTGTTGCTGTTCTCTAAATTATGATCTAGTAATTTATATATGTATAAATTTTAGTAAATTCTTACTAAATTTTGTCTGCATTGTATTAACATATGATTATTCATTTGGCTTGGGGTTCAAAAATGCATGGAAGTATATATGTTAAATAAAAATAACGTCAACAAGGGACAATTCCAGGTTTCAGTAATTCTTAGGAAAAATGCCTTTGGAACCTTGGAAATCTTACCTAATAGACTACGGCCATTAAGCAGTGAATTAATTTCTCATAATACCTCTTGAAGACTTATATCAGGATTAATGTAGAAAATTGAACAGGCAGCTTTATTTACTTACTATGTTTGGAGTACTGAACTAGGAAAAAATAAAGGATTTGTAAGCATTAGCAAACAGCTCTGCTAGGGTGATGTGGCCATGGCAGCTGTCCAAGGCCATTGCATGCTAGATTAACGGTAGTTCTGGACACAGATATGCACTCCCTATCGTCCATATTAGGAAGACATTGTGCACTTCATGCATTTGTGTATAGTCTACATTTTAGTATTCTGTGTATGTTGTTTAAGCATAGGATACCTGAACAATTGTAAGGAAAAAATACATGCTGTTACAATATATTGTAAAGGCATTATTTAACAAAGTAACATAAAATATAATGAATTTAATGAAATCTGTCTGTAATATGTATTATTTTTGCTGATGGAATCATATGTGTGTCTCATATGTGTAGATAAACCACGGCCACCATCATCAAGCCCTTCTAGTATTTCCCGCCGTACTCCTTCATTAGACATACTTGCTGCTCCGTATCTTGCAGGGCAATGGCCTCGTGATAATCATGGGCAAGTCACACCTTGTATGAGGGATAAAGCCACACAGGTAAGACAGTTTCCATACATTAATGCAAAAGAAAGAAAAGACTATTCTAATTGTTTCTTGAAGCTGTATAGATAAAACTTTATTAAATAAATGTTTTTTTGATTTAATCATGCAGATTATAAAATATACATTCTGTTGTAATTAAAAAAGAAAAGGAAAATAGATGAAAAGGAAATGCAGTTATGAATATGCAGAATCTAAATGCCAATATTAAAATTATATATTTTAAAGATGAAAACTATAAAACTGTTCTAATTAAAGTAGAATGATAAACAAAATAGGCAATATATGTGTATTAATATAGTAGATGATTTTCATAACTTTCATAAGTTAAATTAGACTGTTTATGAAGAGGAACATGAATTTAGTAATAAATAATTGATTTCATATATATTAACATTATATATTATATTTATTTCTTGACTTCATTTATTGCCTCTGGGCCAAAATTACATACTAAATTGTGGGAGAAATTTGCTGATTGCCTTTGTATATATTGGAACTTTTGTACATATTTGAGAATTTTTTGAGAATGAACGGAATCTATTGATCATAGCAATACAAAAGAGAACATGGAGACGCAGAGAATATGAATCAATCAGTTTGACACCAGTGCTAGAGAATATTGTACATCATGAAGATCAGTTTGTACATATCTTGAAAAAAATGCATGATTGTTAGAAGTAAGGTGCATTTATCAAAAACAGGTTTATTAGATTAATCTTATTTTGTTTATGTTTTTTAAAATTGGTTACTTAGTAAGGCTATGGTGAAATACATCTTTAACAAAAAATTTGACAAAGTATTCCATAATACTCTGATGACCAAATTAATTAATTAATTGGATGATGTGATTATCAAATGAATAGTGATCATTCAAATCTATATGTGTACTATAAAAATAGATAATTTTTTTCAGATTTTTTCATGCCTTTTGTATGTATGTATGAATGTTTTCAAGTCAGTGTTGACTCCTGGTGATTGCATAGACTAGTCCCTGCAGTTTGCTTAACAACATTTTTGAAAGTGACTTGCCTTTGCCTTCGCCTTCTTCCTAGGGTTGAGAGAGTGACTGGTCCAAGGTCACTTAGCTGGATTCATGTCTGAGACAGGACTAGAACTCACGGTGTTCCTTCTTTTTTTAGCTTAACCACTATGCCAAACTGGCTTTCTGTGAATATTGAGGGACATTACAGAATAAAACTTGGTCAATAACTTTAGAAAATTGATTTTAATATGCTAATATTAAAATTGTCGAATTACTCATCAATAGCCTAAATCTACTATCTTTTCTTTTTTCTTAAGACTGAGAGTGCTTGGGCTGAAGAATACTTGGAAAAGAAAAAGGGATCTCATAAGCGCTCGGCATCGTGGGGCAGCACAGACCAACTCAAAGAGGTGAAAAATGCTGTTTTTTACCATCTTGATAATAATTCAGTATAATAATTATACCTGCCCACCAGTTTACAGTTTAGAACAATGCGAAATATACTCTTTCTGCATTACAAAATTTGAACTTCCATTGAAAAGGAATTGCTTCAATAGGGTGGATCCTATTCATAAAACTGAAGGCGGTGAATACTTTTCCCTGCAGCCTTACATCTCAAAAGAAATGATATCTGCCAAGAGCGCAGATACCACCCACATTAAAAATTATAGACCAATTTCTTTATTGAACGCCAATTACAAAATAATTATGAATATAATGGCTGAGAGATTGAAAAAAAATATTAACTAGATATATATACACACAGAACAAAATGGTTTCCTTCTCATCCACGCTGCCTTGAGAGTTCAGGAATAGGAATGGGTTAAGCTCCTCCTTCTGACATAGAGCTGAGTCATCCACTATAAAAAGCCAGCCTCTGGCTGACCCTCCCATCTTTGGCTCAGCTTCTTGTCTGAGAGCATAGTCTCTGGAAGAAGTACTTTTAAACAGCTAAAGGAAAAGTTTGAACTCAAAGCAACAGCAATAAATTTAAAATCCAGCTCCCGAGGGTCCGATAGAGCTCTGTCTCCAGGAGAGCGGGGATCCGCTCTCCTGCAGTGCCTGGGCTTCGGCCCTGCTGAGCAAGGAGACTGCGGACCCAGGGAACATTTGGAGGAACCTCCCACACGGCCTCACTGATCACAACCTCGTTGTTGCTGCCGCCGGCCAAACCACTTTACAGCTGACTTGGGAGCTTCATTCCTGCCACTTCTCAGCTGTTCCGGCTTAATTCAATCACTCGGGGCCTGGTAAGAGCCTAAGGAGCAAAGATGGTGGCTAGGCCATCCCAGGGCCACCTCACATGGCAGGCGGCCATTTTATTTTGGGGGGAAAGTGCCTCCCCAAGGCTTCACAGTCTCCTGACTTGCCTGGCCTAGGCAACGGGCAGCACCTACGTGAGAGAAGCTCACAGCACCCTTGGTGTCTGCTGTTAGGCAGATGGAGAGGGAAGCCCCCCAACCTGGCCCCAAAGGATTGGAAGAATTCTAAGACCCTTTGAGGAAAAAGAAAAGACAAAGAGGCCTTTCTGCTAACTGAGAGGCTGCTGAAATGCGGCACTTAAGGAACAATTTGGAAAAGGCTCAGATGCGGATCCAGATTCAACATGCTTCTCACTCTGGGGAGGTGCACGTTAGCCCTGAAGTTTCTTCCAAGGGGGGACCCCTGTTAGCTTGGTCTCCAGAATCACCTGTTAGCTTGGTCCCCAGAGAGAGTGGAGGAAGAACAGTTTCCCCAGGACCTAAGCAGATCAGGGCCTTCCTCTAGACAGGCTACCTGGGGGCCTGGCCCTTCCTTCCTCAGTGGCCAGGAGGTTGATGAGCCTCCCTCAACAGGAGTTTTCAGGCCTTCCTTAGTCAAGCCTCTGTTACACAAGGCTTTGGTTACTGCACAGCTAAGCCCTGAGGAAGTGGCCCCAGAACCACAGGCTACCACATCTGGCCACCCTGATTCATTGTTCTCCAAGCCAGTGGGGCATATGGAGGTCCTCCCCTCCCCACTGATTTTCCTTGATCTAGTGAAGGAACAGTGCATCTCTCCAGGGGTGTGGCCTCACCCATCTGCTCATGACAGACGATTCTATAACATCGGCCTATCCCTAGCCAATGCCCTGCTGGTACCTTTGGTGGATGCTCTGGTGGTGGCATCGTTTCTTCTTCAGGCACCCCCACCGTACCAGAGGATGTGCTTAAGGCAGAGGACAAACAGTCTGAGCAAACCCTCAAGCGCACTCACCAGGCAGCAGCTTGGGTGATTAGAGCATCAATGGCAGCCTTGTTTTTTATGAGATCTTCACTGCGCTGGCTTCACCAGCTTCAGGAGAGGCTCCCGGCCACCGAATTCAGAGCACACCAAGATATCAGTAAGGTAATTGCGGCGTCGGAGTTTACAGCAGATGCCACTCTGAGCTTGGCCAAGTTCGCTTCCAGAGCCATGGCTTCTTCAGTGGCAGCCAGGCGGCTACTTTGGCTATGCAACTGGCAATCCGACTCCTGCCATAAATGGAAGTTGGCATCAGCTCCATGCACGGGCGATAAGCTATTTGGTGACATCCTTGAACCATACTTGACAGAGACCATGGACAAGAGGAAGGTCCTCTCTTCAGTGGGGAAAAGGTCCGAGTATCGCCCTGGGCCATACTTTCACCCCTCATTTTCAGACCCGAAACCAGCTCTCGGTTCTCTAGAGGTCAGAGGTTCTTTCCTGCTCGCCAAGAACAGCGTCCTGAAACTTCCAGCAGGCAGCAACAGGCCCCTGATAAATGGCCCTTTCGAGGGGGAGGAGGTCATTCATTCAGACGCTCGAAATGAGTGCCCCATCTCCCCCCCTCCCATTGGAGGCCGTTTGGCTTTCTTTGCCTCCAGATGGGAGGAGTCTACATCAGACACCTGGGTTCTTGAGATGGTGAGGTTGGGCCTCCAACTGGACTTTCTCTCCCCACCTCCATGATGGTTTGTTCACTGCCCCACCTCCAGGGACCGCTCTAAATGGGCCCTTACAGAATTAGCACTCCAACATCTTGTCAACCTTACAGAGGCTTATTTCCACATACCTATCTGGCCTCATCATTGCCAGTTTCTCCATGTTTGTTATCAGAATGACCATGTCCATTACCAGGCTTTACCCTTCAGTCTCTCGTCAGCCCCAAGGGTCTTCACGAAAGTCTTGGCAGCTTTGGCAGCTTCACTTCGCACCATACCAGTGAGGGTCCAGTGCTACCTAGACGAGATACTCATCCAACTGCAGTCAACCCACTCGGCCCATCGCGACCTTCACATCACATTGCAGAGCCAAAGAAACCACGGGTTCTTGATCCACTGAAGGAAAAGTTACCTTTCCCCGATGACCAGGTTGCTTCACTTCGGGGCGATTATAGATACGTCACTTTGCGAGGTGTTCCACTCCCCGGACCGAGGGGAGAGCCTTCACAGTGGCATTAGTCAGATTCTGCGTCAGAGCACTGTCCCATTGTCTCTACTGTCCCAGATCCTGGGAAAGATGGTCTCCTGCATTGGGATCGTCCCGTGGGCCCATCTCCATGCCCGGGAACTCCAATGGTTCTTGCTTCCCTTTCAACAGGCAGGAACAAGCCATTCTACCATAAGGGTACAGGTTCCTTCTCAGGTCCTTCGGTCCTTTGCTTGGTGGCAGTCCCAGGCTCTAGAGAGGGGTCTTCCCTTCAAGGAGCCAGACAGGAGCCAGCTCACCATAGATGCCAGTCTCCATGGCTGGGGGAGCCCATCTGGAGGGGGAAATATAGCCCAGGGATGTTGGTCACAGTCAGAAAGGACGTGCCCCATAAATTGGCTGGAACTCAGGGCTATTTTCTTAGCCCTAAAACACTTCCGGAACAGGGTGGCTGGTCACTATGTGTTAGTCATGACGGACAATGTGGCCACAAAGATCCATGTCAACAGGCAAGGGGGACCAGGTCAAGGGCCTTGATGAGAGAGGCAGAGCTCCTGGGGATGTGGATGGAGAGACACCTCCTTTCAATCAGGGTGGACCATATATTGGGAGTTGACAATGTCCAGACCAACTGGTTGAGTTGGTCCACAGTAGACCAGGCACAGTGGAGTCTACACCCCTCTCTGTTTCAGGACTTGTCATGCCGATTTGGTCCTCCAACCGTAGACCTCTTTGCCACCCCCCAGAATACCCAGTTGGGCAGGTTCTTCATCAGGTTTCCAACCCAGGGAGTGGAGGGGACCAATGCGCTTTGGAGTGCCTGGCCTCCGGGTCTCCTCTACACCTTTCCTCCTCTTCCCATTATTTCGGCTGTAATCTAGAAGTTGTTGGAAAAGGCAGAGCTAATTCTCCTGGCACCCCAGTGGCCCAGGGGACCCCAGTTCACAGATCTGCTGAACCTATCTGTGGCCCAGCCATGGAAGATCCCAGCATCCAAGACCTCCCTGCATCAGGGAGCATTACTTCATCTGAACCCCCAGAGGTTTAGCTTAATCATTTGGTGCTTGAGTGGCAATCTGTGAGGGCTTCCAAGTTTCCTGAAAGGGTAATTGACACCATTCAAGCTTCACGAAAGCTGTCTCCCACGCGCATCTACGATGCAACTTGGAGGGTATTCTGCTCCTGGTGTATGCCTTTGGCCAGAGACCCCTCTTCTGCTTCTGTGGCAGAGGTTCTAATGAGGGCTTAGACAAGGGACTTACCCCTAACACGCTTCGCCACCAGGTAGCGGCTCTCTCCCCTGTTCTATTTGGGAGGGATATGCTTCTTGGTCCCATCACCCTTCGGTGCGCAGGTTCCTAACGGGGGCATCTAACCTCCAACCCCCTGTTGTAATGAGGCCCCCTTTTGAGCCCTTCAGATCTGTATCTCTACAAATGCTGTCCCTCAGGGTACAATTTTTAGTGGCCTTTACCTTGGCCAGGAGAGTGTCCAAATTAGCGGCACTCTTGGTACAACAGGACCTGTGTCTTTTCCATCAGAACAAGGTAGTTCTTAGGTTAGACCCCACGTTTGTCCCTAAGATAAACATTTGGTTTCACCAGGCGCAAGATGTTGTGTTGACAGACTTTTGCCCCAGACCACAACATGAATTGGAACACAGGTGGCATATGCTGGATGTGAGGTGGGCCCTTTGGATTTACATCAAACGGACAGTGGCCTTTTGAAAATCTGAAGCCATGTTTTTGTCGTTCCATCCCTCTACCCTGGGGAACAAGATGACTGCATCTACAATTGGTAGGTAGATTAGAGCTGGTATATCCAAGCCATACTAAACTTTGTCCATGCCAGTTCCCAGACACGTCTCGGCCCACTCCACTAGGAATGCAGTTACTTCGGCTGCCTAGTCTACTCAGGCGTCACTGGAGATCTGCAGAGCGGCTACCTGGGCTTCAGCTTTGCCGTTTATACGGCATTATTGCCTGGATTCATTTGCTTCAGCCCAGGCATCGTTTGATTGGAGGGTGCTTCAACAGGTGGTTCCTCAGTTGGAGGTGAACCAGATGTTGGCCTCCCATGGACATTCAGGCTTTGATATGTCCCATTGCTGGACTCTCAAGGCAGCGTGAATGAGAATGGGCAGTATAATTATCTGAGAACGCCCTTTCTACGCTGCAAGAGAGTCCAGCCCCACCCCATACGTCTGGTTATGATGGTTGGGGAGGGGTGAAATTAATTTATTCTTTATCTTTCAGAGACACATTACGTCTGTCAAGTATCCTCGCCTAAAAGTTGGGCGGGCCAGCCAAAGGCTGGCTTTTTATAGTGGCAGACTCAGCTCGATGACGTCAGAAGGAGGAGCTTAACCCATTCCTATTCTTGGACTCTCTTGCAGCGTAGATAGAAAGGGCGTTCTCAGGTAATTATACCAATGCCCATTCCAACAAGACAACTAAAAAACAACACTAGGACAGTACTAGATACCTTGGAGTACTATGAGGCACATCCAGAAAAAAAGGCTAGTTTTTCTGGATGCTCAAAAAGCCTTCAGTAAAGTGAACTGGCAATTCATGAGACAACAAGTAAGGGAAATTTTGGGTAAATTTGAAAAATGTCAATATATTCAAGCCAAAAAGCATGGATAATGATTAACTGAGAAACAACAGATTCATTTGAAATAGGAAAAGGAGTCAGGCAGGGATGTCCACTTTCACCTCTGCTCTTTATCTGACGCTAGAAATTTTGTTGAGAGACAGACAGAATTCAGAAATAAAAGGACTAAGAATTTTTTTAAAAAAAAGAATACATGGCCCAAGCATTTGCAGACGACCTTGTATTCTTCATAGAAGAACCAATTAAATCAGGACCAAATTTAATTAAAGAGAGAGATACGGAGAAGTGGCAGGTTTAATAATAAGGACAAAATCAAAATGATAACAAAAAATTTAACAGAAACAAAAAAAATAGTAGAAGCAATAGGTATACAAATTGGTAAGAAAATTAAATATCTAGGAATTTGGCTCACGGCAGGATGTTCAACAATAAAAGAAGATAATTATGTAAAACTGGTACTAGAAATAAAAATGGATTTAGAAAAATGGAGGAGACTACAATTATCAATGTTAGGGAGAATTGCAACTATCAAAATGAATATCTTGCCAAGAATACTATTTCTCTTTCAAACCATTCCAATTAAATTGGATAAAAAAATTCTTTAATGAATTAAACAAAATTACCATGAAATTTATTTGGTCAGGAAAAAAAGCGAGAATAAAATTAAGCTCACTACAAGATAACAGATGCAAAGGTGGATTTGGACTCCCCGCCTGGGAAATATACTACAAAGCAGCAGTCTTAACAAGGATTAAAGAATGGGCCAATCTGAGAAACAAAAGAATCTTAATCCTAGAAGGGCACGACCTAGAGGCGGGGTGGCATGCTTTCATGTGGAATCCTGGAAATAAGAGATATACACACTTGAATAGGCATGTAATTTGAAGTTCATTATTGAAAGTGTGGAAAGAGATTAAACATAAACATTATATGAAGATTCCAGGTGTGTATCCGTCATGGAGGTAATGATCCACCCCAATGCCTTAGAAATTGGAAGAATGATATGATGTCCTAAACTCAAAAGGCAGATTAAAGACAAACCAAGAACTTAGAGAACAAGGGATGAAAATAGAGTGGTGGCCGTATTTATAACTTAAGATGAGGTATAGAAGAATTTGGAATTGAGGGGAAACTGAACCAATTAGATAAAATATTAGAGGGAACAGATAAAAAATTAGTTTCTAAAACATACAATTATCTATTAGAATTTGAAATGGAGGAAGAAATAGTTAAAGGCCCAATGATTGCATGGGCAAGGAATGTAGGGCACAACATTAATCTGGAAGATTGGGAAAAAGTCTGGAAACAAAATTATAAATTAACAAAATCGGTTGTTTATAAAGAAAACCAATACAAAATGTGTTACCGGTGGTATCTAGCATCTTCAAGGTTAGGAAATGTGTATCCAAACTTAAATCCGACCTGCTGGAAATGTAAGCAAACAAGGGGTACCTTCTTCCACACTTGGTGGCTTTGCCCAAAAAGTAAAAAATACTGGAAAAAAATTAGAATTTGGATAAAAGAAATTACAAATATCTGATTGGAATTTAAGGCCGAAATATTTTTGTTGGGAATGTTAAAAGGGGACTATGCAAAAGAAATGAAATACCTAATTCTCCATATAATCACGCAGGGGTCTCAAAACACAATTTACCTGGGGGCCGCTGGAGGCAGAGTCTGGGTGAGGCTGGGCCGCATAATATTATACTTTATATTATACTTTATATTATACACTAATATTATACTTTCATATCACGGTGGGGGCCACAGGATATCGTCTTGCGGGCCGCAATTGGCCCGCGGGCAGCGAGAATAAGACCTCTGTAATCACGGCAGCAAGAATTACGTTGGCACAATGCTGGAAGGGTGACCAAATGCCAACCAATAACTTGATAATTCAGAAAGTTCTTGACTGTGCTGAAATGTACTTACACAAAAACTTAGGGATAAGGTAGACTCAAAATATAGTACAGCTTGGGAAAAATGGTATAATTGGATTAAGGAGAAAAACCAGGAAATTAAAAGATAAGGATCTGAAAAATGAAGTGGTTAGATTAAGAGCATATACCAAAAATAGAAAATGAATAATAATAAAATTGTTTTCAATAA